TAGAATTGTCTGAAGTCCATTTTTAAAATGGTACATACACTGCTGCAAGCAAGGGTAGCTGAACAAAAGCAGGCTTCTTTCCTCACAAATAACTTTGAATAATAGATGTCAGCAGAAAGCTCAGTTCTAATCTGAGAGATGTTGGTAATGTGCACTTTATAGTTTTTTGCCTCTCTGTGGTTGTAGTGGAAATCTATACCTCTTGAGGCAAAATATGTCATCACAAATGTATTTTTTCCACACACATTGCCATTAAGAGATCTCGGAGGATGCTGATCTTTTGAGCTCATATCAGGAATGATTTAGCTGATCACCTGATCTTCTCCCCCTCTGACAGTAGGTTTACTATGTACATATTCACTTGTTGGCTCAACAGAATTTTTGGCAGTGATATTTTTGTATTTATATTTGGTGATGTGTGTAACAGAAAAGCAGGAGATGTTAACCCTTAATGCCCTAAACAGCTTGGGACCTGGGTATTTTAAGAATCATCTTCACTGGTTTGTTCTTCCCTTCATGCTCCAGCTGTCATCTGAGGCACTTCTCCAAATACCCTGCCCTGTGAAGTAAGCTGGTGTGGCTTTTTTTTTTTCTGTAGTGGCACCTACCCCATTGGATGGCTTGCCAAACAAGATGTGATGGGACCCAATTTTCAACTTTTTTAGATGATAAGTAAAAAGGGGGCTTTTTCAAAAGGGTTAAGTGTTTTTCTTTTGCTTTACTTTTAATGCTGTTTATCCCATACTATTTTCTGTTTCCTGAAATTGTTTGTTTATTAATACAAATGAGTTATGCTGTTTCTTAAGAGTATGAAATATTTTTAAATATTGTATGTGTGTGTGTTTTGCTTAGTTGCCTTGAGTTCCTTTGGATACAGGTCTATAAAATAAAACAAACACATTAAAAGGGGGTCTGCAATTAAATGTTGCAGAGTGAAACACTCTTGTTCAATGTTCCAGCCAGCCAGCTATGGTTTCCTTTCAAATGCTCCCTTCCTACTCCCTGTTTTTTCATCTCCCCCCCCCCCATTTTAAGAGTCAGTCAGCACTCTGTCTACTGAATAGGTCATTCTTCATTGGGCTGATTTGGTGTCACCAGTCCTTAGGATTTTCCCGTTTTTTGCAATGATGTAAAACTTGGGGTTTCCCCAAGCCTATTGGTTGCTTATTTATTCGCAGTATTTATATGCTAGCCAATAAAACAAATTCACTGAGTGGCTTCCTGTAAAAATTAGAACAATGAAATACCAAAAAAACCTCCCCCTTGTGATAGTATAATGCCATGTGGGCTTCAAAGTTGAGAATGAATTTGCCATTAATATAAAGGATATCGTTATACACTTTTAAAATTCCTTTTAGGTTCAACATTAGCATATACTTTATTGTATTTCGTTTCTCTATGTACTAATTCAGTAATTTAAGTTAGATTCGAATTGACCTTTGTAAATTAGAATGTAAGCTAAAATTACCTAATTTATCCTAAATCTTCATTCTTAACTCCACTTAAATCAATTTAGTAGCTTTCAGTTATTCTCTATAATTATAAATTAAATTTAAAGTGTTCACATGGACTATGCAATGAACTAACTTTGTGCACTGCTAGAACCTCGGTCAACTAGGGTGACTAGATGTCCTTTTTAAGAGTGGACCATCCTCTGTTTGAATGGCTCAAACAGAGTCATCCTGGCTAATGGGCAGGGTCGAAATTTAATTAATAAATACAGTGGCTGTCCTGCCTATTTCCAGTCTAAAGGTAAAAACCACAAAAACAGTTTCCCATTGATGGCGCCTGGACATCAGGCTGAAAGGGCAGGCAAGCAAACCATCTGATCGCAGCCTTCCATAGCATGGTGAGATGCATTCTATTTCTGTTTAAACCATTACATTATCTAAATGTGCATCTATAAATCTAAATTTATTTAAATTTTTATAAACTTTTTTCAGTGAACAGAACATTATACAAATGACATTCCCTTTTGTCCCCATCAGGCTATTAATTTCATCCTTCCTTTTTGGCAGTTCATATGTGATCACCCTATTGGCAACAGGTTGAGTGTTGAATGATGATTATCAATTTTATATTAACTGAGACCAGATATAAAAGCCAGCTGCACAGATGAACTTTTCTGACTATATTCCTGGCAAGACATTCATACAATTATAAAAAGCACTAGAGAAAAAATAATTCCAGTGGCTTACCACGAACCCAATAATTCAATATACTTCTTGTTACTATGCAGTCTCTAAACTACCAGCTGATCAAATATAAGGGGGAGAGAGAGAAGCTAAATAAAAATTATGCACAGTACAATGTGTTGTACATTGACCCGCCTTCCAGATGTGGCTTTTATCATGTAATTACCCTCCCATATTCATGTATGTTTGGTGTCCAGACATCATCATCTTCACTTTGTTATTTATCCCATGATTACCTACCACCTGGATTTTTTCTTACTAGAAATCTATTAAGGTAGAAGAAGGTAGATCAGCTACATAATATCTATAGATCTACAACACCACAGGTGTTCCATCTGGAAGCAGCCAGGCATGCTACCTGGAAAGTATTTACTAATGTGCAATATGTACTGCAATCCTATGAAAGGCTCAGAAGCAAGTCCAGTTGAGTAAATGGTTCTTACTGCAAATTAATATATACAGGAGTGCAGTTTTAATATCATTTTATCCATGTCTTTTCTATCACCTTGATTGTATGTCTCTTTACAAACCCATCATAAGTTTCATATATTTCTTCCTTCAGTCATAGACAGAATACTAGTTTTCACAACGATATATGTAATCCTCATCAAAATGTGTTACAGAATTCTCCTAGCACCATGCAACCCATGTATTAACACTGCAGTTAGAACTTCCCAATAAATGTAACAAAAATTATTTCAGACTTCATTTTATTTGAATTACTGGGCTTTCTAAGGGAAATGTAGTATTTTCAAGCTTTTCTGCTCATGAATGAGTAAGAGCCTTATATTTGAAAAACCAAATCCTTACATGTATAATTCCAGCAGTGAAGAAGCTTTGATAGAAAGTATTGCTGGATTGCTCTCAATTCAACTGCTGCCAGTACTGACATTCTGAAGGTGAGAGCACTGCTCTTCTCAAATGGAGCATATTCATACTCAAGTTGACATATGTTGAGCTGGTTTGTACATAATAACCTATATCAACAAAAGAGTGTTCATACAGGTTTAGAAAAGTATGTAAAGTAGCAATACTGTGGAACTCCTTGCTCCATGGAGAACAGTTGTGGCTTCCCCCCTTTTGTCAGTTGTAAACATCTTTCTCATAGCAGGTTTTTGTTCATTTTGTATTTACTAGTTTACATAAAGGTTATGCCCGTGTTTGTTCTATTTGTATTGCTTATTTTTAATTATATATTAAAGTACTTTATTTTGTCCACAAGCATTTGAAGACCAGGACAGAAATTTCTATGTAGATAAAACTAAATGAATAGAAAACTTGTTTTCTCTTTCCAATACTAGAACTTGGCTCATGCCATGAAATGTCTGGGCAAGCTTCTTCACACAACACATAGCTGATTTACAGAATTTACTGTGGAGATTATATTTCTAATTCCTTGTGCTTTAATTCTTGGGCCTTGACCCAAAGAGTGTCCATCAAACTGTACATTTATTCAAAAAAAATTGTGTGTATGAATTAACACTAGTGTAACAGAGATTGTTTGGCTGAAAACAACATTCTTAGTTATGATAATGTTCTGCTAGCCGAAGAAATGACCTGCACTGAGAAGACAATTGTTGGCATCTGTCTGCTTAACTCACCACTGTTAAGATAAGGATACAATCTGTCCTGCTTTCTCTACGAACAACACACAGAAGGTAGGATCAATGTAAGGATGGGACTAGGCCAAAGTGATCAATGGCTGGGCTTGCTCTTAAAGGCGTAAAAATATTTGGATTGCTAACGGCTGATAAAGACCTGGCTCTTTTGTGCACACTTCAATAAAGACCTTTAATAAGAAGAATCTTGCTGGTAAAGGGACCTTTAGGACAGCTGGGTTTAGAGTCCTTGACACTGCCATATGATGTTGAGATGGTCACTGGCTTATATGACTTTAAAGGGTAATTAAATATATTGCTGGAGGATAACTGCTGCTCACAAGTTCTAGAACAGCTTGCTAAGAGTGTAGTTGGGTCTCTGCTCTCTTACTGCCTGTAGGCAAAGCTGTTTTTATTCCGGCAAGCCTCTGGCAGTAAACTAATCTGTTGTGTAATTGTCGGTTTGGGTGCAGCTTATTTCTTTAACCATTCGTAAATTCTCATATTCTACTTAAGTTTTGTTAAACTATTTTGTTAACCGCCTCGAGCGCGGCAAAGAGATATAGTATTTATTTTACTTATATACCGCCCAAGGGTCTCTGGGAGGTTTACAAGGTATTGGCTATAATGCCAACATAAAGTCTTACAACTACCAACAACGCTTGCTAACGAATGCTGGGGACTGCACGACTTACTGCTGCCTCAGCATAGCTAGGATTGCACCCTCAGTGGAGCCTCAATGCTCTGCGGCAGTGTATCAGGTGCGTGGGCCAATAGCAAGAAAAGGAAGTAGACGGACCTTAAATCTGATGATCTGGTCTCTTCTCACAAAAGCCCTTTTTTAGCATAATTTAAGCTGCAATCCTAGGCACTTACTTGGGAGTACTCTCCACTGAAATGCAACGGGCTTACTTCTGAGTAAACACACAAGGTCCGGGCAATCCACACTATCCGTGCTCTTGCTTTTATCACGTGACCTCAGCCTAACTGCCTCTTCACTACCCGCCTCTCCGGCCCGGCTTCATATCAATGGACCAATCAGCACGCGAGGGAGGGCCCATTTTTCTTACGTCAGAATCCCGATTCGAGAAATCTCAAAAAGAAAAAAAGGCCCAGTCAAGACTCACTGAGTGAGCGGTGGGTTTTTTATTCGACTGTCGTCACCCACGGAGCCCCGCCTCTGAATTCCTGATCGGCGTGCGGATTGGCGGCTAAGCTGCTGGGAAGTTTCGTCCTGTTAGCGGGCCTTTAACAAAGGGATCGAGACCAATCACAAGAGCTTTTTCTTTTAGTATTGGCAGTTTGAAACTGTCAGGATTTCTTCTGCAGGGGAAGTGAAGGTGTGGCGGCTGCTCAGGTGAGGGTTGGTTGGCTCTGGCTCCTAAGTGGTGGCGGGTTGGGGGGAAACAGAGGTGCAGTTGTAGAGATCAGTCACAAAGTCCTCTTGCAGCATAAGAAGGCGTCTCCCTAAATCAACCTGGTACCCCCTCCAGAGTTGTTGGACCACAACTTCCAGCATTCCACGCTGCCTGGAGATTGTTGGGCGTTGTAGTTCAACACCTCTGGAGAGCAGTTGTCAATTGACTCCAGCTTCCTCCCCTTTTCCTTTCCACAATCCATACTTCTCATTTGAGTTTCCTCCTAAATCTTGGGTGGGTGATGGGAATTGTAATGCAACATCTCTGGATAGCAGCCAGTGGTTGACCCGCCTCTGCTTTTTGTGCTCCACAATCCACGTTTGTCGTTTAGGTTTCCTCCTAATTAAGCCCTTCTTAGCTGGTGCAACAACTCGTGAAGACCCTTTTGTGTTACTGTAGCAGGAGGCTAATACAGCTTCTATGACTGGATTGTGGGACTGACCAACCTGGTTCCCCTACCAGATGAATCAGATTATAACTTCCAAACTGGGAAAGGATGATTTTTGACTACATATACAATGAAAGCAGGGACATGAAGCTTATGTATAAAAGAAGGAAACATATAAAAAGTTAAGCAAATTTTGTTGGGACTATAGCTTAACTTTGATATAATATTGTATATGACTGAAGGCAAAGACAGCTGCAAAAAATCCTCCCAAGAAAGCATAATATATACACAAATCAGTCACATGCATGGGGTTAATTGTTAGTCCTGTAATTTTACTGCTTGAATTAAACATCCTCAGTAATATGTCTCTTATGCTAGCATTGTTTCTGATAAACCAACATATTTTGTGTACGTTATCACACATTATTTCACACAGAGTGAGCCTGAGTAAAGCTATGCCTGAAGGTAAAATGTTTTTATAATGTTGACTCAATTGCCTAAGCTACTTTCTTTTTCCTCGTGACTAATGCTATTTTTTCCTTCTTCCCAACTAGAAAGAAGGTTAAGCAACTTGGCTTAGGGACAATCCTGTGGCCTACCAATATTGTCTGGGAGTTCATAGGATTATTCAGAGTCCTGGCTTCAAAGTCCTGTGACCCCAGAGCTGAAACTCCAAAAATAGATCCCTCACCTTTGTTCTTCTTATAGCTGGTGCCAAAAAAACCAAGCCAGCTGCCTCTCAAAAGTCAGAAATTGGCCTTGGAGAGGGCTAAAGGATCATGCTAGGGGGAAGGAGGTGAGGAGTCTGCAGTCAGTGGCTTGTGCCCTATCCAACTGGCAGTCCAGCCTCTCTGCCTTCCCAAGACTTCATATGGGTGACTGAAAATGGCCATCTAGATGAAATGCAGAGCATGAGGCACAGGTGGTGAAGACTGCCAACCACCACACTTCACATCCTTCCTTAGATGCTCACAAGCATCTGTGTTCAGAGGCATGTGTGCATCAAGGCCAGGGAACTCTAAATCACATCTTCAGTGTAGTGGCTTAGCTTGTAAATTGGGAAGTCTCTGAGTCTAGTCTCAGCTGATCTATATGTACTGCTTTATTGAATTAGTTAATACATTTATGAATACCTGCCTAGCATTTGAGATTTATTATAGTTTTATACTACCTCAATTAATTAAAATCACATAGGAATATTCTTAATCATAAGACTAATATTAAATAAAACTTGGTAGTTTTAGAAAAGATATTACCTCTCTGCCTAAGCACCTTATCTAACTAGAGATCACTGTACTGAGCTTCCTTCATGTGTGTGAACTTTTTTTGGCTAAGTATGTATAGGATCATGCCATTAAAGTGCTATAAAGTAGCTATATTATACATTTTTATGGCCTTTCTCATCTTCCATGTTTTCTTCTGTGTATCCATCTGTTATACATTATCCTTAAGTAGCATTTCATAAGTAAGATATGATCTTACTTTAGAGAGTAGTTGGGTGACTGTATGCCTCTCATGCCTGCATTTGAGCATGTCTTTTCCAAGAACAGTGAGTTCCTACATTTGCCTTCATAAAGTCTGAAGATTCTGCAGTTGTGACCTTAGGAAATGTTTCTGCAGTGGTACAATATAGGTTCTTGGCCTCTAGACTGGATCTGTGTTATAACTTAAAGGGTGGAATCTTGCAACTAAACTTGTATAAGAAAGGTGACCATAAGGGTCCAATGACTCTGCAGTGCAAACTCTCTGTTTCTAATTAACTTGTGTTAGATGCTCTTTGAAAGTCTCACTTGTGCAGTGCTTGCAAATAAAATATTACAGAGACAAACTTTCAAGCCATATTCAGTGAAGAATGTTTTATTTCAATTTTTGATTTATTAAAATCAGTCTTCTAATTCACACAGGAGGACACATATCCTTCCAAGTGAGCCACCTTATTTTCACTTGTTCAGGGGAGAGTAGAGAGTAGGGTGATAATATGCATCCAAACTCAGCTAATGAAGTCACAAAAATTTGACTAGAACTGATCAGGAAATTTTTTAATGCCTTCAGAATTCCTGTTTCTAATTTGGAGTCATCTAGTTATTTAGTAGTATGCAACATTAGAGGAATTTTTGAGCAGCAACAAGAAATATGCTTTCAATCTTGAATTTTACCTCCTGAATTTTTTATAAATGTCCCTTAAGACAGGATGTCTTCATCATCTGATGAGAAAAGCACAAGTCCTGTTTTGCCAAAAGACTCTGATCAAGGCAGTTCTGTCTCTTCTGATCTTCAGGTAGGCCAGAAATAGCCTTTTAAAGCAAAACAAAAAAGCTTGTATAATGTTTTCTGAAAGTGGATCTCTTATGACCTGTCAACTTGTTTGTACCTTTTCAATCCTATTTCTTTGTGAATGTAGCAGGATATTAGAAATGGAGTACAAACTCTAAGTAGAAGATTTTAAAAAAGGTTGGAAATTTTATGTCTTCATATATGCAGTATGCAGACCTTCAAAGTTAATTTGATGCTGGGGGCATGGAATATAAGATGGAGGCATAGCTCCCCAACTCCTTAAATCTTCTACAAAGGGGATGCAACAGAGAATAAATTGACAGATCACTGCTTCGTAACTGAGACATCCAACAACTCAGCATACTCAAGTGAAGAAGGAGTTGTCATTGTGAAGGGTGGAACAAAGACAACAGCACACAGGAAACTGACCTTTGTCAAAGGACATGGACATTTTTATTTATATTTATTTATTTATATTGTGATTTCTATCCTGCCTTTTTCCCACAAAGGGCTCAAGGCAGGTTACATCATCTCTCCTCCTCCATCTTATCCCCACAATAACCCTGTGAGGTAGGTTGGGCTGAGAGTCTGTGACTGGCCCAAAGTCACCCAGTTGGCTCCATGGCTGAGCGGGGACTAGAACCCAGATCCTCTGAGTCCCAGTCACATGCTCTTAACCACTGCACCACACTGGCTCTCACGGCTAAGCTGGCAACACAAATCAGATTTGGAAGAAGGCTAGGCTCTTGCTCTGAAGCAAGCGCTCTCCCGAGTAGAAGCAAAACAAAGTGCATTTTTTACGCATATCACAAAGATTTGTAGAAATTAAAACTATGATCCTAAATGTCGAGCACAGCTAAAAATACAGGCACTAACTAAATTGACTGTAAAGCTGCAGCTTTACAGGAGGACAGAAGTTGACATTACAATATTGGGGTGCATGAACAACCAAATATGGTTGCCTTTATTATTCAGTGGCTGGCAAGCTTGAATCTTGAATTCACAGTAAAACTGAATGATATTGAAAAGGCTCATAAAGTGCTTGCACAGAGACCAATGGAGGCCAGACAACCAAGTGTCAGAAGGGAAAAATATTTTAAGCACTTGACAATATTTGTAAGCTTCAATACAAAGACAGGAAGATGCAAGTATTCCAGGATATTTTGTACTGGACTCTACAGAGGTGAAAGTCAAGACCTAGACAGAAAATCAGAAAGATACAGGAGTATCATACTCTTGGAGAATCCCCTTCAAATTAATAAGAGATAAAGAGCAGTTGCATATTGCCTCCATGTAATCTCAAGCCCAGAGATATTGGTTCTTTCAGGCATAGAAGTGCCACAGGCCGCATTTGAAGATAACTTTCTGACCTCAAATGAAGCTTCCAAAATGGGCAAAGAAATTTTTTCAAGGAAAATAGCAAGTGTCTAAGACCTGAGGCAGGAAGAAATAAAAAACCGGAAGCCATGTGAAACAGATGCAGCACCAAATCAGTCTACAATAGTGATTATCACAATAAACTTGAGTTTTAAAATTACAGAGCAGGGAAAAATCATGATAGCATGATTTTGTAAATGTTCAGGTACCATAGTATTCAAATTCAGAAATAAGAGAGAAAAAAAGCAGTGCTTATATCATTGTCTATATTTAATATTTAAATATTATACTTATGCATATAATATAAGTATAATATTTATACTTATGTAAGCACAAGCCAGGAGGGAAAGTGATTTGCCCAGGAGGTGGCACATATATGGAAAATATCATAAACCTACCAGAATAGAATGGAAAACAACCTGCTTCTCAAATGGTGTCTTGTTGATACAGTTTATATTTGATATTTGTTATGTTTTATATATTTATGCCTTGTTCCTACAATAGAGTCTACATTATTTTACAAATAACAAGGAGGCATCTGGGTGTTACCTATACATGCTTGTTTTGAAACTCTGCAATGTGAAGTGTCCAGTGGGAGGGTTCTTTAAATTTTGATATTGAATGTAAAGGTCTTGATACCCTGACCAAAAAAAAAAAAAAGGCCAGATCTCTAGCCACCTTGCAAAGGTATAATCCAGCTATAGCTTTTCTTCAGGACATGTAATCCATATTAGTCAGCTATAAGTTAGTGAAAAAGGCTGGATAGGGCAGCAGTTCAGTGCTCCAGGCACATCCAAACCAAAAGGTGACTCCATGATCATTGCTAGTATACACCCTCTTATTAGAACAAATACACCTGGGGGCAAGTTTGTAGTTTGCAGTGCCCAGACTAGGACTCCTAGTCTGGCCATGTGCTAGTTGCAGAAGTAGTGCCTTTACAAAATGAGGAAGTGTGGCCATTCTTGTGTTTACGCATTAAGAGGCAGTTGAAATGCTCAGCGAGGAAATCTCATTGTTCATTCTCAGCATGAATACAGAGCAGACTCTTTCCCCGGTACCAAATACAGTACAAGCAGTGACTTGTGGTTTATTGTATAGAAGAAGCAAGAACTCTTGAAAAGGAGACATTGGCAGTTAAGCAAATGTTGCTAACTGAACTGGCCACCTAATTCAATTCATCCTGCAGCAAACCTAATAAACATCGAACCCCAGAAGCTTTACTCTTCCCTAGACATTTCAAGTCTTTTGGCAGCATGGAATGGCCTTTTCTAGAAGAGGTCTTGGCAAGAATAAATTTTGAAAACTATTAGGGGATTTCATTGCTATAGGGGAGATCTTGCTGCTTCCCTGTTTTGGTACACCTACTTTTTCTGCTTTACCAGTGATTTTCAACTCAGTAGCTGCATGCAAATAAAGCTATATGCAGTCTCAACTTGCCAATTTCAATTTTTACCAAGAGTAGTTCACTCCCTTTGACAGCTGAAACTTACCAGGCATGGAGCAAGCAAGGCTACATATATATGATAGCTAAAAGCACACACTGTGCACCTCTGAAAGTTGTAAAAATTAAAAGATGGCGGCAAACATTGGAAAGGGGAGGGCTGCTGCAAAGGATGCTGGGATGCTGGCTGGAGAACCGAGGAGAAAGGACAGGGAGAGCAGTGCAGTGGGCCACATCATCTGTCAGGTGCACCACAGACTGTTCTGCAAAGCAGCTCACCAAGACTTGTTTGCAGGGTGGCTGAGCATGTTCTGCAAGCCTGCCCAATCTCCTTGACTGGGAGACTGATAGTAAGCAAGTCTCTCTCCTGTCTAGTACCAGCTGTTACTGCTCAGCTTAGTCTTTGGTCATAATTCTATTGAGGGAAGGCAACCTGATCAATTATTTACACAATAAGTCTTAACAACAACAATATAAAAAACATGATAATTTTGTTTCCCCTTGGAAGCCAGTTCAGCTATCATCCACAAAGAGTCAGTCCTTTATGTCCATCTCCTTCAACTGACAACTTCATTTGGACCAGTTTGGGTAAAGGCAGAAAGGGAAGGAGAGAAATGGAATGGAGGATAATGGAGCCAAAGATACAGATATAACTGCCACTTTCCTCTTGTTTTCTTAGCACATACTTCTGCAGCTATACACACCCTCTTCACCAACCGCTTCAAGTTAACCAACTGAGTGATTTCAGAGAAAACAAAGGCAAGGAACTCCTTGCCCTTGGTTTTCTTTTCTAACCATTGTTGGGTGTGACATTGCCATTAAGATTAACAGTTCTAACTGAGCAGTTTTGACCGTTTTGCTCTCTTGGATTTTTTTTTCCAAGCTAATTTTTCTCAGTTTGCAAAAATGTTTGGTTCCTCGAGCCAGCTAATACCACCCTCTTGTGCATAGGCAGTGCTGTTTTGGCTATGTAACAATGGGCACTCACCTCAAATATTACTAGCCAAGGGAACAAGATGACACAACACAAATTGCTTCAATTTGTATGGCTTATTCAATTACCTGGTGAAGAAACAGAGGTACATCATTGGTTGCATTATTCATGGCACCAATATTCTTCCAAGGTTAACTGTTCCAACAGACACTCAACCAAATGCAAACACAACATTACCAAGCACTTACATTCATTTTAAGAGACTAGGTACTAACAGGAAACCTTGAAGACATACTTGCTATATAGTATGCAATATAAATCTACAATTTTCTAGTGTATTGTTTTGGTACGTATATAGTCCCTCTCTCTGGATGATCAAACCAGAAAATGTTATTGCAATTAAAACTTAAGATTTCTAATTAGGATAGGGAGGAAGCACATCTACATGTTAGTTATTGTATTTGATGACTGATCTCCAAACTATACTGTATACTTTCTTACAAAATAAGACAAAACAAGAAAAAGTGGACAGAGAACTAAACAAGCTTGAACAACTGTGTCCTTCACTCTGCATAATCTCTCACAGCATGAGAAACCATACTCTCAAAATTATTAATTACTGCCTACGATTCACACAAAAACAGAGGTCACAACTGCATTTTTGTAAGGAAATCCATTAGTATGATACCGCATTGCTCAGGCACAGTTTTAAGCAGCCATGGTACTAAAAAGAGGAAGGCATGACAGATAAAAGATTTGGCATGCAGGGAAATATTGGGATCAGAGTCGCACTTGTATGTGAGGAGTGGGGATGACCAGAGACTGGTGAATAGTCCCCCTGGAGGTACTTATTGGCTTGTTGTATGATTTCTTCATGGTGAGCTGCAGTCCCTTTTCAGTGTTCTTCCTGGGCCTTCTTACAGTTTGGCTTCACCCCCAGCTTGACACAGCTCAGTGGCCGCTATTCCGCTCCTTCATGAGGTTCCTGGAGCTTCATGTGGGGAAGGGAAAGGAAGAGGAGGTCAGAGCACCAGCACTACCCACTCCCAGGTTCATGTCTTAGTGGCTGTTTTTCTTCCCCTTAATTTTGGACAATTGCTTATCTATAAAGTGGACCAATGCATGAGTGATACCTGCTTAGTTGGGAGAGGAGCAAGGCAAGCATCAGTCAACCACTGCAAGTGGCTCACTGGCTAACCATCTACAGTCCATTTTCTGCCCACTCTTGGTGAGGCTTGTTATGATGCGATGTGCCCAAAATAGTTTTGAAACAGAAACTACAAGCTAGATTGCAAGAGTGCTTTCTTGTCTTGTTTGTAGAGTTATGAATTCAGTTTAATACATATTTTTAAAACATAAAAACGGGGCAATGTACATTTTTTATCTTGTACTTTTCAACTGGCAACACATTTTTTATGCTTTGTGATCCTTTTATGATAGGATGAATATGAGGAGCTGCTTCGTTATGCTGTAGTTACCCCAAAATTCGAGCCAAGTGTGTTACAGCAGTCAGATCACAGAGAGGTTCGTCAGAAGGCTGCAGGTAACTTGTGATCAGAACTGGATAATAAGGCTTTGGAGGTGGGGAGTTTAAATGAAGAGAGGGAGCTCTAACTGGTCAAAATGAGAACTGGCCGTGCAGGAACGGGCATCCCTGCTGAACAGAATGAAGATGCTTTCATGTCCCTACCTATAGATATGGACTACCCTGAACCCAAGAGTAAGCACATTGCAGTATGTGGCGATGATCTTTCAGTTATCTGTATGTTCCTGTAATTAACTGTGGTACAATGGAAGAAGCAATTTCTCTGATGAAGCCATTAGGAATATAGCTGCTTTATACAGAATGAAGCAACTGCCTCTGGTGGGGGATGGTGGAGGATGGCAACTTCCCCCACCACACACGATTGTTCTTCACTTTTCTACTCTGTGGGAGAACAGTGCTGTGTATGCTGCACAGCTTGCTTGGTCCCCCAAGCTAGCCTGTCACCTTAGGTAACAGTGGAAGATGCTGCCCCCTTGCCAGTGTTAATGTAAGATTCAACTGCTAGTCCAGTAAGCTTCTGTATGTGGAATTGGTAGAGGGCATAGTTGTATTTTGCCAAAGATAGAAAACTGTTTTGGGCCAGTCAGCTGTGACCCTGATTGGCAGCAGTTCCCCAGGGTTTGAGAGTGGAACCTGTCTCAGTGGGACCTGGAGATTCCAGTGATTACGTCTGAGGTCTTCATGCCAATCATGGACCTTATTGCCAAGCAGTGGCCCTTTCCCATTGCTCAGGTTAGGACTGCTTGCTTGTACAACTTAAAATATGCTCACAATTAGTTTGATTTTGGCCAAAATCATTTGTACAGATTCATAAACTGTCATTGCCGTGACATTTAATTCAAGAGTTTGTCTTAATTTATAATAAGATTTATTTAAGGAGATTTCACAGCCTAGATTAGTTTGTCATCTTGCATATGTGTTCTATGTTTACATGTTTCTTAAGCAAAGTAGACTACTTCTGGCAAACTAAGCACACCATTCTAAATATCTGATAATTATGTTCCCAGCTGGTGCTTTGTAGTATTTCATTTAATTTGAAAGACAAAGCTATTGATATTTAATAATTTGCTTCAGTCATTTTTATTTTTAGCTAACAGTTTATTTCCTGAGGCATTTCTAAAAATAACCCTTTCATGAATACCTACTTGTTTAAAAATGTGAAACAGTTTTAATTCATCTCAATGGCTTTAATCTTTCAAGGCATTCAGAAAGTGTGACATCCTTATAGTTCCAACTTTTAAAGGGACTTCTTTGTTCAAAATTAGAAAGGTTGTTTATTAATTTAGCAGGAAAAAACAAAATTAGGACAGTTGTAAGGGAAAGGATTTGCATGGCTTCTAAGATGCAGTGGTTTTCACTAGGAATAGGTTTTACGCAGATGTGTGCACAATAGTTTTAAAGATTGCAGTACACTCTGCCTTATCCACATGGGACCAGTTTTGCTTTACCATCAGCTTGACAGTAGCACAGTGGTAGTCATGTGCTTTGGCTCCAGCCTCTGTTCCTGGTGCATATTTTGGATGTAGCCAGTTTTGCATAAAAGGAAATTTGGTTATTTTTGTCCAGGAAACAAAATGCTCACTTGAGAAAAGTACAGAAATAATGGGGCTTTACTATGTCAATGTTTGGATATCCAGGGGAAATGTTTCTGAATTGTGCATCAGCAATAAAGGTTTCCTTTGTACAGTTCACTGCAGGGGTTTAGACCCTCAGGCCTAGGAGCCTAATCTGGCCCACCTAGAATGCCAGTCTGACCTTGGGGGGCCTCCAGAGGGCCTGGACCCCTTTTGCCTCATCACCGGTTGCATGGTGTTTTCCAGTTTTTGTGCAGCTTCCTTCTCATTCTATTGTAGTTTGAATGCTTAGCAACCGACACTAAGAGCTTTGGCTGAAATCCAGCATTGAAGAGTTTCTCTGAAATGGAACTCAGCCCTCAGGCTGAAAGAGGTTAAACACCCCTAGTACTGTATATTGCTCCTGTAATTCTACTTGGCTGGTAACAAAGGGTTTTAGGCCCATGTGTTCCTTGTATCTTTTCTCACTGTATCTTTTCTCACTGTGGATACAAAAGGCAAGATCTCAGATTGAATATGCAGCAGACTCCCCTGTCCTACAGCCCAGCCTTTTCTTTGCTTCTCCTTCAACTGACAGTATCATTTTTCAGCCTTCTTGCCACATTAGAGTTGGGCCTTCTTGTGGCCTCACTTCCTCCTTTGTAGCCCCTTAGGTGAGGAAATTCTGTCTCACTTTAATCAATTACTGAAAACTCACCTCATCTCTTTCTTGTATTTACCTTTGGGCTTGATGATCTTCTGGCAAAGATCATGTGAGAAGCATCACCTTCCTTTCTAGGCTGCAGATGGGGTGGGGATTGGGTCGCACTTTGGAGGGCTCCACACAATGCCTGCAGGCAGAGAAGACCGTTGACGCTGCCTCTTTTGGCACCCACTACCAAAACAAACTCTGATTCCAAAGAGGAAGGTTGGCTCTGTCTACTACTAAAACAAGTCCTAAGCTTTCCTTCCTTTCAAGAGGGGGAGGTTGGAACTGGCTATTTTGATGGTAGGCTCTGACACATCTCAGCCGCCCCTCTCCCAGACAAGCTCCTCTGATTCGGAGGAAGACTTGGGAACTGTTCTGTGCCTAATGCAAAGGTTCAATCTGAAATTAGAGATAATATGTTCCATCTTATACACCCTTACGTATCTCAGGTAAGTCCCATTGAACAAATTGAATTTTCTTCCAAATAAGCATGCATAGGATTGTGCTGAAAGAGCCAGACAACATGTGTGGACCCTTGTTGGTTCTCTACAGATAGAATTATTGTATTCTTTAACCTTTTCCTATTTATTTATTTATATTCCACCTTTCCTCCTGGCAGCTCAGGGTGGCATGCATGATTCTTTTGGCTCACTTTAACTGCCATTAGGTAGGCTAAAGGATAGTGATGGGCTCCATGTGACCCAATGGCCACTCATGATTAGTGGGGATTGAATTGCTTCTTCTTAGTTCTAAACTGTGCACTGCATCATAGTGGTTCCCCTCCCCACATCTCTCTCTCAGACTATGTAATGTTTCTCCTCTTTTCTCCAGTTCCTCTCTCTTTAGATTTTGAGCCTGCAGTACTTTTTTCTGTATATCGCCCCAATTGTTAAATAACAAGTGATTAGATAAATGGGGAGATCCCAAATAATTTGGGGGTTTGATTTCTTCAGTTAATAGTAACTAAATTTTCAAAGAAGGATGCTATGCTGTTCAATTGTTAGTATAACTCAGAACTGTTCTGCATGTTGAATGAGGGGCAAGCACTTGGGGCAAATTGTTCCTGTTGTGATGGAACAGGCATGCTTTGTTTCAACACGCCTTTTCAACTGCAAGCTGTGTACAGTGACAAAACTGCTGGGATTCAAATAATTGCAAGATTCTAGAATTCTAACCATTCAAAGAACAGTTGCAGGATGGTCTGCCACTGGATTCATGTATCCTAAATGGGGAAGGAAATATTTTGCAAGGTAAGCTCCAAGTAGCTGCATGTTAAAAGTACCCCTTATATGACAAGTAGCATTAAAAGTGTTGAGCAATCAGTCCATGTCCTGGTGTGAGTATGCCTAAAATATACAACAGGGGAAGGCTTTCTTTTAAAAGCTTTAGTCTCAAGAACAACTGGCTACCAACACATAGTTCCATAGGACGCACCTGAGCAGTTCTCAGTTGATGTGTTTCATACATTGATCATGAAAGGGTTGCACAATTAACACTTTCCAATAGGTTACAGAAATTAAAAGTTACAATGGTGTGATCTTTCCCACTTGCATACCAAAGAAGGTGCTGCAAAGGAGCAGGGAGGATGGGGTACTATTACATAGAAGAGAAGGAGGAGGATGGCGTGAGCTGATGTGTTGCCCTTTGTATGAGCTGCTGTTATTTGTCAAGTGTCAACTAGCTTTCTCTGAAATGGTGTCTGGTTAGTGTCAGCTACATTTCAAGGATGACACATGCTGATTTCTAAAAAAGAAGGTTTTTCTCAGGCCTGGTTATATGAAAGTTATACCTATTGATCTGTACATCAAAAGTGTTTTGCAGTGTTAAAAATGCCAACTGGTATTACAAAATGCTCTTCACGTCCAGAGCTATCAAATACAGTTGATCAGTTGCTTTCCTGCTATATTTTGTAAACTGTTCTGATAGCATTATGATAATCTAATGGTATACAAATGCTTTAAAGACAGACAGACAGCACAGGAGCCTAATTTCCAGCTTCTCTGAGCCCAACTCAGTCTTTTCTGGTCAGAGAACATGCAGGAGAAGGAATATCTTGGTGGATGGAAGGCAGCAAGATAGATGTAAAATGGACATCCTTTGTAGAGCTTGCCTTTTGAAAAGGGAAGTGACAGTGTTCATGTTTAGTGACAGCAGATATTTGTGTAGTTCACATCTTTTATTATGTTTAAGTACATGTGTGTAAAACATAGTCTTTTAAAATAGGTATGACAAGTGATGTCACCCTCATATCAAGAGATATGGTCTGGTGATGCCCCTTTGCTATCCTCTCCTGTTTGAAGTCTTAGGTGTCTGAGAGCTGGTTCATGAAGGCTTTGATACTGCTCATTGATTAGGTTGATGTCTGTACACCTGCAGAAATACATGCATAGAGGAAGAACTTGAAAAGCGTTATCTGTGGATATTTAGAGTGGCAAACAGATTGGGAGAAAAATAAGAGAGAAACCAGCAGTGTTTGAAGAGACCCTAGCTAGCTACATAGAGGAAACTAATCTAGGCTGACCAATTTTCAACTTGATGGCCCTAAGCATCCAACACATCTACTAGGTAAAAATAGTGCTGAAGATCCTCATCCCTTTTTGTTTACTTAAATTACTTTTAATCTGTCTAACTCTCTCCAGCTTTACACTAGAATTTGAACTCTGCAGTTGGAACTGCCATCATCTCATAAACAGAAGAGTTGTTTGTAGTTTGTTCATCTGGGATACTTGATGGTTTTGCAAAAACCTTGAACTGCAAAACCTGATCTGTGGATTGGATCTAACACACTTTGATAGGAGAGCTCCAGTTACTAAAAACAAGCCTTGCTTTGAAATAATAGATCTAGAGATAAGAGTTATCTTTAAAAGAAGTTTCTAGTGTTATAAGGAAGAAATATCAGAATAAAACATGCTGCATTGTTAAATATAGCATTTGAGTGCTTTTAACACTAAAATTTAATTTCCTGTCCTGAGTTACCATCATCTTTAGCCCTCTGTGTTGCTTCTTGTTAAGGTGCTGGTCCTCCATTATTGAAGTGTTGTACACACTGAATGTGCCAAGTGCTGACTTGCATCTTTTGTCTCAGAAGTACATTGACAAACTTCCTGCTGTCCTGTCATTTGTATATTCTAAACATTTATTTTATTTTCTCCCACCAAGCCCTGTACTTGGTGAAATTTTCCATTCAATAGGAAAAGCAGATTTTGGGACACAGAAGATCATAAGAGAACATTATTTAAATCTATTTAACATTCATTATGATGCCTTTAAAACCATCTTGTTTGTTCTTGTAGCCCCATGCAATGCCTTTGTACCGCACCATTCATTTTCGTGAAAGTACCCCATGCAAGAGTTAATGTTATACAATAACTGCTTCTACCCATACACACCAACTCCTATCCGGCAGGAGCTAGTAAGAGAGCACATGCCGCCATTTTCTTGGAGACATGAATTTCTTCCAGTTTGCTTTCCTTCATCCTGTTTCATTGAGCCACTGGAGACAGACTTAGCTTAGGCAGGCTATCATCAGGTTTTAGTGCCAGAGAGCTTTAGATGGGTTTTAGCTCCAACCCATCTAATCCTAATCTTTCCTTGTATTAAAGCAGGGAAAAATCCAGTAATGGATGAATGCAGGCGTGAAACTGCAGGAGTAAGTAGGAGGAAACAGGGAAGAGTTCCTGATTTTGCAGCGTCTACTCGGACGACAAGGATAGAAGGTATAACTACTGGTGTGAGGATAGAATATTCATAGATGTAGTGCTTAAAAGCTTGTGTGAGGTTTTACCTTTAGCATACAAATCAAGGATACATTACATTTTTTATATGTAAAATAATGGGCTGAGAAAATGAGTCTAGACCAAGATCAACTGGTGACTTGATGGGTATATGGAGGTCTGAAATGGCCTTCCCCACTTCTTATATACAAGGTGGGCCAAAAATAGGTATACAGTAATGATTTGGTCATATGTGTTTGAAATGTCCCCCGTCAACATTGCAGCATTCCTAGAACCTGTCCCTGAAATTCCAGTTAGCACCAATCTTGATAAATGCTTGTGAGATGACCTGCCTCAGTTGCTCTACTGTGTGAGGTCCTTCATGACCTGATCAGTACTGTATACCTACTTTTGCCCCATTCTGTATATCACTTGGCTCCCAATTTTCAGATATCCTTCTCATATTTCAGCAGCTTCCAGATGTTGAAAGTGACAATTTCTGATGATGAAATATCTTGTCTGCTCTAACTCTTAGGGAGAAAATGCAGAACAGTAGCCCTGTAAATCTGTCACTACAAAAATACTATCTTGCAGGATCTTCAAGGCTAACACATTTATTATATGATAAGTTTTCATGTCCCAGAGACACCTCAACAGATGCACTAGATGCACTGTAGCCCATGAAAACTTAATCTCAAATAAATGTGCTAGTCCTTAGTAATACAAGATTTCTTGCTATGGGCGGGGTGGAAGCAACATAGACTTTTGTAATTTTTCCTGTGTGACCTTCACCCATCCAGGATGTTCACCCAAATGGTTTTTTATTTGTTCAGTTTCAACTTCAGTGAAGGAGCCAGATATGGAAGGACTTTGTCCAGTCCGCTCAGAAGAAAGTTCTTCTCCAGAGTCTTCATCTAGTCAAAGGGATCTTCAAGAGTCTAATGTGACTGATTTAAGCCTTTCAGATGAAAGAGTGACCCAAATAGAAAGCATACTTGATCTCTGGAGTGGGAGCCTTAAGGTATTTTTGTAAAATACCCATTGTAGATAATTTTGTGTACTTTTGAAGATCTGGTGGCAAAATGTGCTTGGGGAATTCATATTAAGCACTTTGACAAAGTAAGGCAAAGAAGAGAGGGAAAAAGTCTGGGGTACAATCCTGTACTGCTTTGGAGAAAGAAGCTACCTGGTTTTTTAAAAAGTATTTAAACTCATGTTTATTTCTCTTAGTGATTCCACAGGACATTCTAATATTAAAGAACCATCGTATATTGAGTAGCACTTGTACACGCCTTGTGTGTCAAACAGATTTTTTATATTCAAGTTAGTTTAGTCACATCCAGATTTAGCTCATAGAGAAACTAAATGTATGATCTGTGCATAATGAGAGCTTATTTTATGGCAAAATAAAAATAAAAGCTTATGTAGGGCAAATATGGCATATAGATCAAGGAGGAAGGGAGGACAGACCTATCTTTTCCGCTCCCACTGCTTCTGCGTTCTAAATTACTTGGTCCAACCTACTGTTACTCTGTGGGACTTCAAAGAGAGTATGGCAGGGAGGGTCTTGCTCATTCCTGCCTCTAAATTTCCTGACTTCTGAAACTGCTCACCTTTCTTTAAAACAAAACCCATATTGCTGCTCTAAGAAGCTGTGCTTAAGCCCCATCGAAAACCAGAAAATTGTATTCTTTGGGGAAAGCCCATAATGATGATTGCATTTATACCCTTTCTTCCTCTTGCAAGCAACCCAAGGCAGGTTTTTGCTTTCCATTTTATTCTCACAACAACCACCCTAGGAGGTAGGTTAGACTGAGAGTCCGTGACTGGCCCAAAGTCACCCAGTGAACTTCATGGTTAACTAGAAACTGAATCTTTCAGATCTTTAGTCTAACACTCAAGCCACCACAGCATCTGTAGCCACCTACAGAACATGGCAGCTCTCCTAATTCCATGTACAGAAGCTGACCAGAACAGCAGTTAAATATTGCAATTAAGATGCAAAGAACTCACTATCTAGAGTGCTGTTGCCTAAACTTTATTTATTTATTTATAAAATTTGTATGCCATCCAATTACTAACGTCTCTGGATGGCTAACAACATAAATAAATTGACGACCCACTCTGGCTGCAAATTAATAAAATACAATAATAAAATTTGATATTAAAACATATTAAAATATTGATTAAATCAAAAGGTCTTAACCTGGTGCCGAAAAACATATAATGATGGCGCCAGGCGGACCTCTCTGGGGAGCGCATTCCATAGTCAGGGCATCACTGCAGAGAAGGCCCTCCTCCAGGTACTCTGTCTCCTAACATCTTTCACAGAGGGTTCCCGGAGGAGGGCTTCTGTTGCCAATCTCAGGGGGTGGGAGGGCAAAATAGGGAAATATGCATCAGAGAGCCCCAGTGTTCATATTCCTGCCATAACAAATACTTGTCCAACAAAATTTGCTAGGGAGAATTATGCTCTCCTTCTGCTTCAGCTCATGCCTGCACCTTGCTGCAGCATCAATGACCAGTAAACATCTTGGTCACAGAATTTACAGCTGCCTTTAGAAGTGACAGTGTTGTGCTTAAGCTTCATTATGTGTTTTGATGAACTTGGCATGGACTGATCCTTGTTTCTTTACCAAACCTGTTACTTTAATTTTTCAGACCAATGTTCTGACTGAACTGAGGAAGTGGAAGCTTCATTTTATTGAACATCACACACTAGAAATGAGACAAGAAAGAGAAAAGCATGCCGCACATGTGCGACAATTGACTAATCAGATGGAGAACTTGAAGGAGTTGCTACATACATATGAGATTTCAATAGGGAGAAAGGATGAGGTAATGTGTTCTGCTAAGCCAGTGGTTCCCAACCTTGCATACCTTTTGGCAGCCTATTTCCATAAATTATACCCTACATATTAGCAAAATGAGCTAATATAGTTGCTGTTATATTTGCCATTATTCAATTTTCTTGTGTACCCCTAAATGTCCTGGTTTATATCCCTGGGGTATGCATAGCCCAGGCTTGGAATCACTGTGCTAATCATTTGTAGCAATTCCTACAAGGTTATTTTATTTTATTTTTTTATTTGCTCCTTTTCAGTCCTGCCTCTCTTCTGTCATGAAACTCAAGGAGCGATGCATGGGGTCCCAGGGTGATATCTGCTTGAGGCAATGACCCTGCTCAGACCTGTTTAGCTTGAGTATGTTGCTTTCATCATGTGCCCTTAGACCACACGCTGGGACTTTCTCTGTGATATGAGGAACTGTCAGATCAAATAATTGTGGTCCTGATAAATATAAAGAACAATTCGTTTCCATTATTGAAAATTGGTGCTTGTGCAAACTAGAGATTACCATCTGTTTTCCCACTGCCCAGTTTTGCCACCATCACTGCATTTACTTATTGTAAATGAATAGAAGTAAAGCTGAAAATTAGCATGAAATTTACTGAAATTGAGTCTCTCTGTGTCAGGGGTTGACAGCCTGGGTCTTCCAGATGTACCCCACCTTCTATCAGTCCCGGTCAATCTAATCAAAGAGCAGGAATAGAGGAAGTTGTAGGCCCAATATCCAGAGCATCAAAGGTTCCCCACCCCCTAATGTGCTTGATTTTAATTAATCACTTCAACTAATGGTGCAATCTGGGCATGGTTAGAAAGGAACAAACATGCTACAGTTTCTAGCCAACATACTGCCTGGGCTATGTTGGGAGGTATAAGACTTTTTCTGTCTAAACTTACATAGAACTGCATCCTAAATTACTTAAGAACTGTCGTCTTCTGTGCATGTTTTTGTTAGGTGATTGCCAATTTGACGCATGCAATTGAGAAACAAAAGGACAGAATACAGTTGATGAAAACATTCACAAAGTGGCGCCTTCAACATTTTGTGGGCAGACAAGAGGCCAGACAGGAGGTACATGTGGATGTGATAAGTTGAATTCTAGAGGGTTATTGCAGAGTCAGTTGTCTTTACTTTTTCATTAAAAAACTGATTTAAAACAAGATAAAACCAGCAGTTTCTATGGCCTGGCTCATACATAATGACCTTCCAGGGTTTTTTAACCCCTGGGTTGTTATGCATGAGTCATCATGCCAAATTGTGTTGTTTAATTGTTCCTGCTGCTAGTGAGAGTGACTGAACACCCCATGGTTGTTTCTCCATTCCTGGAGACAGGAAAAGCCAAGTGGAAGCAAACAAGCAGCGGGAGCTAGTGCACTTTTCATTTGCAACAACCCAGAGATTTAAAAAACCTGGATTGTCATTATGTGTGAACCAGGCCAATATGTAATGAAAAAATAAATACATTTAAAATCTTCTTTCCCCTGAGGCAGCTGAGCAAGCCATGTATGGGGTGATCAAAAGATAATAATTTGTATTTGCAGGATTGTGCTTGGGCTTTATCTCATGAGGTCAGACATATGGAAGTGTTCGAAGTGCCTTTGCTTTGTTCGTTGATAGCAAGGCCCTTTTGGTTTTCAGTGGCAACCAAGATTGATGATCTGAATTTAGCATAGCTTGCATGCATTCAAATCTTTGGGTTGGTTTCACAGCAGCTGCATGCAACAGTGACCGCTATATTATGCATGCTAGGCAGTTATGTACCCCACAGGCCTGCTTTTGCAACATCAGAAACAAGCTAGTGAGGTATAACCATAATACAGCTGGGGCCATGCTCTGGGAATTGAAAACCCCTTTGTAGCCTCTTAAGTGTATAGGTAACTGATTTGTTGAACCTATATTTCAGGTATATACGAAGCGGCTGGCTGATCGCCTATATGAAATGGGTTTGTTGAAGAAAGCATGGACAATTTGGCGCTCTCGTATCCATATAAAATGGAAAGAGACTATGGAAAGGGCCTGTCAGTCAAGTGCTGAATCTGTGCGCATTGAGATATCCAGTGACTATGAAACTAAACTTCAGGAGGTAAGGAGGTTTCTAAAGGTCTCTTTCCTGATGGACATTATGTAAAGACAGTAATGTCTGTCACATACAAGGAAAGATTTTAACTCTGAAGGCTTACTTGGTAGAGATTTTCTTCTAGTACGTGACATAGCAGCTAATGCAGGATTGAATAATAACAGGCTGGTAGACATCATGGAGTATGCAGAAGTATAGACGACTAATATCTGGTAAGACTAGATCTGGCCAGAATGTTAAAATGAATAACAAGAATGTGCATAGTTAGAAGGGAAATATGGTATTGTAGCATGCTCTTAAATGTTTAACATTTTTCAGACCTGTTTATAATTTTAAACAATAAATTTAAAAACTGGATTGGCTATCATTATTTGTCCTGTTTTGGGATGCTCATGTCATTGCACCCATGGATCCATTTTTATAAAAGAAAATACCAAACAAAAATTGAACCATTGTTCATTGTGTAGTAGAAATGAGAAATATGTATTCAGTGTGGCATAATGACTATGATTGGGCTAGAAAATATGATTACAGTCTTATCCTTCCATGTAAAAGGAATACATTCTCACTCCCCTCTCCAGTCATATTTTCCTATCTATGAAGCATTGAACATGTAAGATAATAAACTAAAACCAGCATCTGCAAACTTGAACTAATATCCCACCTGCAATATACTTCGTTTGCTTTGAGCCTGTGTGTGTTCAATTTGTATGTGTATATGCCCATTCTGTTTGAATGTGGAACAGCAGATGAAACAGTAGGCTGGTTTGCACACATGGCAGTTGAGTGCCATGTCGACTTAACCCTGTTCAAGGGCTGTCCTGTGAGAACCAGATAAGCACAGGTTATGCAAAGGTTAAACAATCTTAGAACAGACTGTGATTTATGCAAGGATTGTTAATCCTTACATAACATACACTCACCAGGTTTGCATGGGATGGCAATTCTAGTGGAATTAGATATATAAATTGGCATCTGCAAGTACCATGGTTCATATTGCATTAAATATCACGAGTTGTGCCATGTTATATGATCCAGGTCAGTATATAGTTGGGGAGGTACGACCCCTGTGCTCGATACACAGGAAGATCAGGAGGAATATTGTCCAAAGTCATCCCATGAAAATATTTTCTAGTATAGGACAGTTGCTTTTTTGGTCCCATGACATATGAAATACAAAATGGATATCATGATGTCATGTTGCATCAACATGGAATGAATATGTTATGGGCATGTTTCTCTCACATGATATTCTTAATCAAACAATAACAAATGCTCAAAAGAAAGAATCTATTTTGTAAGTGTGAAACCTTTATCACTCCAGACAATATCCTAATTGGACACCTTTTTAACACCAGCATTTTAAATATGATTACATGCCTCTGTGTAACCTCTGAACTTATCTTACCCACCTGTCCCTAGCTCCTTGCCACTGTTGTGCTATCCAAAATGCCTCTTTTGGTTCCTTTTAAGCCTGTAAATTGCCCCCTCACTGCAGTTTCCAGGCAGAACCTATTATAGTTCTATGTTGGCTATACATGTATGTCACCCATCTTTCCTTATTTTTGCTTTGAAAGGGCTAGTAAGTAACCCGAAGAATATGTTTCGTCTCAGTATTTTCTAAAACCTGTAAAAGAAACAAAACAAACAATATGCTAACTGAATTGCTCTTGTATTTCCTTATTAGGTAAATGCTGAATTGGAAGCCGCAAGAGCTGAGATGTTAGAAATGCAGAACAGAAGACATGATTACGAGGATGCTATGAAGAAGGCTTTCATGCGTGGTGTCTGTGCACTCAATCTGGAAGCCATGACCATCTTTCAGGGCAAAGAATTCAGATTTGACCAGGGTTAGTATTACAAGGCAATCAAGATGTCATTAAGAAGCCAGTAGCATGCCAATGGATAGTTTTTTTATTTCTTTCAGTTACAATGTTCCAGAAGGTTTTCTGGTTGCTAATCCAGAAAAAAAATCCAAAAAGAAAATCCACAAAAGGGTTCTGATTCAGTCAGATAGCAAGTAATGTAAAAAAATACAGTGCTGCCCCAGTTCAATTCAATGATTTGTTACAGGAAGACAGATGAGTGCGCTGGACTGAGGTGTGAATCAGTTTTCCGCTTTGGCTGTTCTCCTCACCCCATTGCATTCTAAACAGCTGAGATGCCTCTCCTAAGGTTTAATTACTGGCAGCAAGAGCTTTGAACTAAATATGTTGGTATCTTTTTATTTTGCCTCCAGTCCTGCCTACCACTGGGATGTGACCCTTGAGAGCTTCTCCAAAATTGAATTTTGTCCTTGAACTGAAAGAGGTCCCCACCCCTGTTTTGAGACGATTTTTATAATACGTTATTAGCATGATACATAATACAAGTTTCAAGAAAACTCCTTGGTCGTTGGGTGCATAGAGCAGCCTTCACCAGACTGGTTGAAGGATACTGGGGATCATAGTTTAATGCATGGAGGAGCATCAGAGGTTGGAAAAACGTGGTCTAGATGGTAATTTTGCAATTCAGATTTCCAAGATTAAGAAGCCTCTTGAATGGGGCAGTTGGTGATTGTCAACCCAGTCCAATCATGCTTCTCAAACTACAAGAGGTTCAGATTTTCTTTTCATAATATTTGGGTTAAGGCATGGTAGACACAATCCTAACTACAATGTCGGTATAAAATAGATGAGGTACATCAGCTCCTGTGTCATGAGATGACTTTTATACTTCCTCTTCTGCTACTTCTTGCTGTTTCATTTTCCTGTACAAAGAAAGTTGCAGTTTGGTTGTGTTCTTAACTTTTTAAAGATAGTCCTTGGGCTAGTAAGCTATCCTGAGACATTTTATCATGAAGGATGGGATAGAAATGTTTTAAATAAAAAATAAAAATAAAAGTGTGCATAGTTGAATCAGAGCTTTTAAAATCTGAACTAGTTTATTTACCACAAGATGGCACTGTAGTCCTGCAGAAAGCTCTATGGCAAGCATCCCTAGAGCAACTGGAAGTGTAGGCGTGTTTGTGTGTATGTGCATGCTTTCTAAATGTATGCTTCAGAGCTGCTTCATACATTATGGCAGCCCCATAGCAACTTTGCAGGCTTACTCTACATACATGCCAAGATCCACAGAGGAACAAGAGAACACCAAGAAAATAAGCTCAACAGTTCATGCTTATTTGTGGGAATGCGTGTAAGCGTGACATTTTGAAGATTCTGTTGTTGTCCAAATATCACAAAGAACATTTGTGCAAAAGTCAAATCCACATGGAAGTGCAGGTTTTTCTAAGAATGGATTAGAAGCCTCAGATTTAAGACACCGCATAGAAGGACGTGCAGCCTTTTAAGTAAATACTTTTCAGAAAGAATCGCTGATACACACTTTTGAGGAGAGTTCCCTGTGTTTTATCTTTCTAATATCTCTGTGAGTTGGTACATGGTTGGCAACTGTTTGCAGAGTTTTTTTTTTAATTCTGCCTAGATCTGGTATAAATTATAGTATAAATTGGCTTATAAAGAATAAGACTGCTTGTGCATAAGTGTATTAGTAGACACCAGCCTTATACCATGTACTGTACTGGTTCCTTAAACTAGTAGGCTTATACTTCGTTGATTGGAATTCTACACCTTGCCCCCCAAAAATAACTCCTTAGTTTCCGCTTCTCTTCTTCCTTGAAACCTTCTCTTCAAAATTTATCTTTTCTGTGAAGCTTTTGGCCTAATGCCTTAATCTCTTGTTCCCCACCACCCTGAAACTATTTTTTTTTTCATTTATATGTATCTAAGAATTTCAGATAGCTTGCAAGGTAGCTTGCAGTCCTTATAAGAATAACATATAAAAGAGATAAAACACAAAATCCATGTAAAAACATTACAATATTCAAAACCATTCTGAAAAGGATATCATGCTAAAACTCAGCCTGAAAGCAAAGAGAAACAAAAATATGCTAACTTACCAAAAGAAAACACAATAACAGAAAAAGTCACTCATGTTTTGTGGGGAAAGGAGTTCCATAATCTGGGAGGGAAAGTGTCACCGCCAACTCAGTAGTCATGGAACCTAGAGCAAGGCATATATGCATTTTGCCCCTATATACTTACCTATGAGCATCTTAATTAAATTTTGATTGTCAGTATATCTGGGCAAGGATCTGTATTGTTGTTTTGTTTATATTCAGAAAAGATGTGGTTTATGCAGAAAATAAATTATAATTTAACGTATCTTTCATCATGTGACATTGTTGCTAGAGTGATGCTAGTTAAAAGGGGGATAATTATAGCTGATATTTTTTTATAAAGCTCTAAACACAAATGTACAAATTAGGCATTTTTAAGTCATACAGCAATATGGCTTACTTTTAATTAAGCACAAAATGCAAGAGGCATATGATTTGAAAGTGATTTAATTTTTTTTCCTTGCTGTTCTCCAGTTGAGTTATGAATATTTCTTCATTTATGTATAGTAGCTGATCTGCCAGATAAGAGAGCAGAGCCTGGTGCTGGCACTGGTGATCCTACACCAAAACTCCCTCCAACTCAATTTGATCGACCTTTACCACCAACCTCTTCCTCATCATTGCTGCCACCACCGCCTCCCCCACCTCCCCCTCCTCCAGCAATGACTTCTGGCTCTGCTGCTGTAGAAAATCTAGTAAGTAAGAAACATTGAAAATATCATTGAATCAGTGCAAATTCTGTTTCAGCAATCCTAAATATAAATAAAATTTAAGAGAAGAGTTTGGAAGATAAGATAAAAGATTAATTTTAATGGCATTTGCTATGCTAGCTTATAGTTAGAGCAAGCTATTAGCCTATTTTATGCCTGCTTAATATTACTCCTGCAAAACAAGATACTGACCATGTTAGCACATGCTAACCCATAGTTGTCTTACCCAGGTTTGTTGGGGTGACTATCAAACAAATCACAGATAGTTGTTTGTTTCCCTCTTTCATCCACTTCTTCCATGTATTCGAAATGCCTTTGGACTGCTCCAGTGTTGGCAGGTAGATGGATTGGATGTGGTTTGATTTGGTTTTCCATTCTTGCCTGCTGCCTATATAACCTGGCAAAACACCCCATGAACAGCCCACAGTTCTGACCTGACATACAACAACAAGCTGTGGTTTGAACAGCCCAGATTTCACAACCCAACAACAAACCATGTGTTTGCTTTCTAGCTCAATTATAGTAGACCAACCATTGTTAGCACGGCTGGCCTTGTACACTGCAACCACCCAAAATTCAACTATGGGTTAAATAAACCATGAGTTAACTGTATGTAGGAGCCAGATCAATATATTGGTATTCACTTTTAGCAGTGGGAAATAGACGATTTGTGTATATGTTGCCTAATTTAACCTGAGTACTATACATTTTTCTATTGCTTTGCAGTTTTCTTCTCACCAGGGCCATGCAATTACCTCTCAGACCAGATTAGACTCGGCTGCTGCATTATTAGCCTCTGGTGCTACAACAGGACCAGGCACTGTTTCTGTTCCAAAATTGGTAACAACCTCAATTATTTATTCTAGTCATTATTTGTTTGAGTCAAGTCTGTGGGTATAGATGACTGAGAATTTTTGTCTGCTGTGGAAACAATGTAGAAATAGACAGGGAATGTTCAGAATGTATCCCTGTTCTTATACTAGGAGAAATGTAGTGTATATTTTTGTGTCCACTTTTGTACTTCCATTTTTAGCCATTTGCGGGGATGTCTCCATTGGTGGGTGGGAGAGTGTGCTTCTGCTCCCAGGACAATGAGACTAATCTTATCTCTGTCCTCTGTAGATACTGCACATAGCAAAGCAGTGTGTGTCCTTGTTGTTGAGGCAGTATGGTTGCCCTTTAACAACTCTTCTTTCCCACACCACTTCAGACAGAAGTGTTTACATCGATTCTGGCAGCATGATGGGATACCTGACTTGTCGGGATAACTGGAGAAGAGACAAGATTGCTTCCCCAAAATATCAGAGCAGTGCATCTCTGCAAAAGCCCTGTCCTAAATGTCCAGTCCTAAATCAAAGTGCCTCTAATTTGCTAACACCACCACTGACATCTTGGTTAATTCCAGAAAAATGGAAAAAATTCCCAGCTTTTCCATAAACTTCTTCCTTTAGCAAAGGCAAATAAACCTGCTACCCTAGAGTCACTTTCTGATATTCATTCTGGCTTAAATCAGGCCCATAGAACCAATGTTTGGCTCCCTTAGCTACCCTTCTTATAAGATCTATATGATCTTATGTGATCTATACTGTTTTATATGCCAGCAGAACCTTATGGAAGGTTCATATGGCCTTGTGCTTTCGACGGGTTCAGTTACCATGCCTTTTAAGCTTCTTAAAGTCAATAAAGTTTCTATATGCAGGAGTTCTTCTTTGTGGTCTCTGTGCATCACAGTTATGGGCTCTGTGCCTGCATGGGGCTTGTTGTCGGGAAGATTTTCCAAGCTAGATGCATTCTGGTGGAAGCCCCTCCCCTCAGGAGCCATCCTAGTGGGAGGGAGGAGACTGGCTCCTGTCAGAATGACTGGCTTGGAAAATCTTCCCCAACAACTGACCCACACAGGTGCAGAGCCCATATGTGTGTATGCACAGATGGCCACTCAAAGAACATCAGTTACAGGTAAGCAACCTTACTTTCTTGGGGTAAAGCAAGGGAAAAATAGCATTTAGATACATAAAACTAATAAACTGAGATAAAATACTATGTATCTCTTGTGTAATTAGAATTTGTGTTTTGCTTATTGCAGTCAACTAGGGTTGTGACATCAGCACAACAGAAGGCAGGAAAAACGATTACTGCTAGAATCACTGGCCGATCTGATTTTGGACCCAAGAATCGGATTTATAGTAACTTAGATGTGTTGGGTGTTTCTCCCCCCATGAATTCTGTTGTAGTGGAAAAACATCATCCAGTCACTCAAGTAAGTCCGATAATATTTAAATTATTTCTGCTTCTTTTCTATTTTTCTGTAAATAAGTTTAATTTGGAACATTTGTCAAAACATGTTGAGAGTTCAAATACAAAATATTTACTGGATCAGATTATATCAGTATCCTATCTAATTATTGACACTCAACCACTTGAAACCTTTATCAATTTTCAAGCCACTTTCAAATAAGAGAGTTTTCTACGCATGCAGAAGATTTCCAGTGTACTTTGAAGTATGGATTTTGTCAACTAAGTAACAATGTAAAATGGGCCTACAAATAGGCCAATGAGGACTGAGCATGATTAGTTGTGTCTAGGAGTGATGGAGTTTGGAGTGTCAGATGAGAAGAAAAATTTGGAGTGGAATGAATGAATGAATTTGCTTGTAAATCCCAAGGAAAAGCATGGCTGTCTGGTTGGTTAAAACCTAGCATGGAGATGGCCCCAGGTGGAACCAAAGTTCAGCAGTAGATTCATACCAGCCCTTTCATCTATCCTTCACCAACAGAAAAAGCAAGAAATTGTGCAGATGTGTTTAATATGTGATATCTGCCTTCACTATACTGTAGCAATGTTGTTATTTTCATATGGATTTTAATTTTTAAGCTGCCCTGAGTGATGCATAAACATTAAAAATACTAAATAAATATCAAGAGAGATGGTGGGGGGTGGGGACAGAATGAAAAACTATTTTGGGCGACAGCTTTTACCTTTGAATCTAAGGTACTCAATGTGAGGTCTCATAATCCTAGAGAAGTTTGATGTTTGGGAAAATCTGGAATGCTGAATGTCTTTTCTGCCTTAACTGATCATCCAAAGCTTTCAAAAGCAATGTTTTTTGTCAGTCAATGTGTGCATCTTTAAGTGGACACACATAGGCAAGATCAAAGGTTGTCAGTACTATTACACTGCTTTCCAAAGCACAAGCTGTCCGCCTCAGCTGACCGCACAACAGATGAATATGCTCCCTTTCTGCTGGAATCTTCACTTCTCTTGAAATGTTCTTAGTGAAATAGACTGTGTATGTTGACTATAAAAGAAGAGCATGTCAAGCTTGCAGCCACAGAAACACAGTCCTACCTAAAGTATTTGTGTAGGAATGTAACACAATAATTCAAGAGCGTCAATGCTTTTTGTCTGCCAGTAGGTTATTCTAGCTTGCAGCACAAGCTTTCTAACTAGGGATAATGGGGATCTTTGTGATACATATCAGAAAGCGTATGATTCAAATCCCTCTTCTGCAATCAATTCCTTAAAAGGCCTTGGGCACAGCATGCTCTCAGCTGCAGTCTATCTAATCTGCAACATGAGCAAACATGGGCTTGCTTTATATGTTTGTTCTAAAAATTAAGCTGTATCTTTTTAAACAGTATACTTTTATCTTGTTTTTTAGAAAAATAAGGATCAGGTTCAAGCAACCTGCAATGGCTTGTGTTTGTTTTTAGCCCATGATGAACCTCACTGCTTGTTGATGTATGTTGCCTATGCAACCCCCCCCCCCCCCCGGAGTTGTGTCAGAGGAACCCAGCAAGCATGGGCTATGCAAGGCTGTTCAAGTCTTCATGCTTGCCATGCTTGTATAACACAATAACCCTTGACTGAGGGCTGCATAATCAAAATGCAACTGCATATGCCCCACAAGCACTGTGGTGCCAGCATGAATTATTTTGTCTGCCTGATCTTCTCTTGCTGGTGGTGCTGTAGTCCAATCCAGCAGCCCTCATTCCTCTCACTGTGGCAGAGCCAGACCATGTGTCCTATTTGTGTAGTCTCAAGGTAACCTGCTGTTGGAGCTATTTGGGGAGGCAGGGAAGCAAAATGCTGCAGCTGCTCCTTTTCTGGCTAATGGATGGTACCAGGCTGGTCTTCTCCTGGGTGTTAGGTTCTTCCTGGGAGACTGGAGTATAATCTCCTAATGGCCCTTAGAGGCAGAGGCCAGAACATGCCTATAGCCCCAGGGCAAAGCACCTCAAACATGTGAAAAGTGCTGTAACTTTGGTGTTTGTCCTTGTTAGACCCAACACATTAACTTTACCGGTAAAGATGGTGAAGGGAGAAGGGTATGCATGTGTACATGCTCATTCATAGAATCTCCATAGGGCAGCTAAAACAGGGCAGCTAAAACTTGGAGAAGTTGGTCATCTGTGATTCTTGTCTATGCAGCATTCTATGTAGGACAGAGAGAGAGCATATTGCTTGCTTCTTTGATCATACTGTATAGGCAGATGCTTGCAATGATTGCTTTTCCACTTGATTGTAGCCATTGTACTGTATATATGAATCCACTCAGAATGGGACTAGCGAGAATAGGGATTGCTTTGCTTTGAAGGTGTCTCCATCTTGCAGACGAAGCTTGCTTAGGTCTGCTGTGCCTTAAGAGAACCTTAAGAGAAGATTAATGGACACTCAGGTAGTCTTCCACCTAGGCTGCTCTCAACACACTGTAGAGGTCGAACCAATTCATTCACATTGAGTATATCAGTTTAACTGTTTGTTAAGAAGTCTTAAACAGGAGGTGTTGAAGTAAATCTTAAGTTACTGGTTGAGTGGCCTTTTCCTTGATTTTAGTTGGAAATCTCTATGCAACATGTTTAATGAAAGCAATTTCGTGGAAGCTCCTAATCATTTTTGACTATATTTTATATTTTGAACTTACCAGTGGGATAGTAAAAAATTGCTTGTGTTTCAGCAAACAATATCTCAAGCTACAGCTGCTAAATATCCTCGAACTTTGCACCAGTTTTCTAATGCTATCAGCGTGAGACCTCCAGGACACAGTGGGAAAACTCATACGCAGACGCACAGCAACATCCAGTCAATAAAGGTTGTTGACTAGGTTTACAAGTTAAAATGCTTGTATTTTACCTTAAGCACGCACAGAGATTTTTCCAGGTTACATTTTAAAATACTCCCTAATGTTTGCAGATCAATATAGCTAAACCCCAAGGATGCATCATGTTTTTTTTTCCCTTTTGGTAATATTGTAGATATTAAAAATAAGCCACCTGAGCTGGTACAATATAGTCTGTGTAACTGCAAATAAGGAATGCTTGAAATTATTTCTTTAACCTATTTTATTAAATATGATTTATTTAATGTTTTTAATAAAAAGAATGAACTGAATGTCTCATCTATTATTACCAGTGTTAAGTGTTTCTACTGCATAAGCATTGATAGAGTTATGTGTAACTTTACCTTATTCTGAAAATGGGCCCTAAACTATTGATTGGTGATACAGCAATCAAATTTATCATTCAAAGGTAATACTGACTTCTCATAATGTATATTCATGTATTTACAAATGAAGGACGTTACAGAAAAATTGGGCCATATACACTACGAAATAAGTTTGCCATTATAAGCATTAACTAATTTATTTACTAGCTGTGGAAGAGTACCAGCATAATTATATTGGTAGTAATACACTGAAATGTCCCAGTCCATGGTTTTATACTGACAACAACTTTTCTGTGGGGGCTACAGGTCATCAGTTTTGGGCTTCAGTTATCTCGTAATGTACTTCATACTGTTATGAAGTGCTGTGTTCACACATAACAGTAAGGAACACAAAGTTACCTTTCGTAACTTGTGTCTTGTGTTCACATACTCATGAGTAGTTTCCATGCACCTCCATCTGCCCTCTAAATGGCAGCACATATCCCATCAGCCCCCAAGTCTTGGAACCAATGCAAGTGTGCACTGCTCTTGCCTGTGTCTCCTGCCTGTCCCCCATTGGGCCACACATTCCCCTGGGTATGCTCTTAGCTGACCACTGCTTGTTGCTCTGTGGAACCCATCTACTCATTAGAGTAGGATGGTGGCTCTGCAGGAGCAGCAGAGCAGTGACCTGGCAGGAACATCATGCGCAGCTGCCCCTGCAGTCGCTGCTGCTGGAGGTGCTCCCTGTCCTCCCAGTGTGTGCTCCCTGATGCTCAGCCACCCCACTGCCACCATACCTGCCACTCTGCCCCCTTGCTTCTTTGCTGCTCGTCACATGCATGTCTCATAAAGTGTACATGAGAGAGTTGCCTGTCTCATGAGACATGCATGTTGGCTAGTCATGAGGGGGCAGAGCGGTGGAGCAGCAAAGAGGTGAGGGGGCAAAGTGGCGGGCATGGCAGCCAGCCTTCAGGGAACATGCACCAGGAGGAATGACAGGACATGCGGGGGCAGCCAATCGGTGTCCTGACTGTTGGCAGTTCAGTCATTCCTAGGCAAACAGAGCAGCAGAAAATGGTGGCCGGAGCAGCAGTGGCAGCTCTGGCCACCAAACTCACTGGCCGAAACAGGAAAACCATTGTATTCGGCTCCACACATAATGACAAGCAATGCTGAAATGTGGAAACCTTAGAATAAATTGTTAGTTCTCCATGATGATTCATGGTAACCAAATGTGCCACATTTCATCATCCTTCTGGTATTCACACAGCTTGGCATCATGTGTGTGAATACAGCCAGCGACTGTTTTATCTGTTTCTGAATGCTCCATGGTCACTAAGCATAAAAGATTGTGGGGCTGACAGTACTAGGAAGCTAAGAAGGCAGCAAGGAGAGAAATAGTGACTTCTTTAGTGTTTCAGTGTTGCTGTCTTATGACTCCTGACTTTAGTTGTTGCCAGTAGAAGAAATGCTTGTGTGTCTGCCTTCTTCTCATGCCATCCAGTTAAGTGGTCAAATGGGAACAATTCATGATGTCCCCTTGCTGCACCAGCAATGCACCAGTTCCACGAAGGGCAACGCTGCCATGGAAATGTGGCCGTCTAATATTGTAGGGGAAGCAGACATATTGCAGAAATCCTCAGGCCACTGAGTAAATTTGGAAGGGGCCCTACGGTGTAAATCACTGCTAAGGTCATTGCTAAATAACAGTAAAATGAAGGGATGGTTTGGATGTGTGAAATGAGTGCAGCAGTTTAGGCACTACTGACAGAACATTCACATTGCCTAAACATCAAAATAAAACTTTCATTTGAGGCAATTTAATATAGTGAGCTGTGAATCACAGTGCTAAGAGGAGGGAAGCATTCTCATGGCTGTGTATGTGTCAGCACAGCCCTGAAGCACCCTTCGTCAGATCCACTTTTGTTAAAAATAAAGGTGGTTTCCAAATGTACATAGAATTCTAGAGATGAATTAAAATCCATTGTAATTCATATTCTTCTCCTTAACTGTGGCCAGCAAATAAATGCCACTAAATTTTATGGTGCATTAAACAAATATTCTATTTATGTGAGTTCACCTGTACATCCCTATGAAGGAACACTTATTTATATTGAACCATATCTGGAAGCAGGGGATCACTGCAGCTGCCACAGTGCATCAAAGATCAGACTATGAAGAAGAAAGTAAATGGTCACTTCAGTATGATGTTCCAAAAACTAAAGGCTTCTTTCTGTAACTGATTTGTCCCTAATAAGTGCCACTGAGTTCAGTCTGGCACTGCTTTACAGCTTAGGATGGCTGTTTAAATCCCTATTTACTGGCCGGGATCCAAACAGTCTGTTTGTACTGGCACTGCCACGTGTGCAGAGGGCTTACCAGTTTCCTCTTCCAATTACGCTGCATTGACTGCCACTTCAAAGACTCCCGAGGAGCAGCGCTTTGAAGGGCACCAGGGGGTAACATGAGATGAAAGCTCCTAGAGAAATCTGGGTAAGTGCAGCCTTTTTGGTACTGGTTCTCCTGTTTAGTTCCTGAGATAATGAATTGTGCAAGCCTAATGGGATTTTATCCACCCCAACTTGTGGTTTTTTTAAAGTGTGCAGCTTTCAGGAAGCTATCTGGAAAAATAAAACGAAGGAAACTTTAAGAGGGGTTATATGGCTTTTAATTTTATTTGTGCATGAGGAAAAGCATTGCTTCTGCAATGAATTTTACTGACAGAAAATCACTAGCATATGAAATACTGGACAATACCAGAACCTAAGATTCAAACCTATTTCATGTGAAGGTACTAATTATTTTATCCATTAAGTTTTTTAGGTCATTTTTAACAGGGAGAAAAAAAGAAAAAAAAACCCTCCAAATAATTTTACGTATAAAGTGTTAGTACATTGGAGGAAATGTGTAAGGAGTAAATGGGCTAATTTTTAAGAAGCATTTTACTTTTTATAAATAAAAGCTTAGTACTTGTTAATTATTTTAGAATGTAGCTACAAGCATGCCTGGTTGGTTAAGTTCATGAAACTGCACACTTCTTGGATTCTGTGCCAACATTATTCTCTGCTCTGATCTTCTCTGTAAAAGAAAATACTCTTGTTAGAGTTCAGAAAATAACACGTGCCTTACATAGGTTTATGCATAACTGACACATGCTGCAAAAAAAGATGGTTGGTTAAATTATAGTATGCTTGAAACTAAAGTAGAACCTTCCCAAAACAAGGTCGGCTTTCTTTTACTACAACTTGGGGTAATAACAGTATTATTTACTAGCTTGCTGCCATTTAGTTTCCTGTATTTGCTTTATATGTTCTGCTGACTGTAGATACACTTGGGCAGGAGCTTTGTGTTTGCATAGGAGTAAATCCCATCTAACTCTATGGCATATAATTGTGTTGGACTTGGGGGTGCAGCTTATAGAAACAGAGCGAGTCAGAAGGGGCTTCCTGGGCCATCTAGTCTGACCTCTGGCACCAGCCGGCTCCGCTCATGACATGTCCACCATGTGCATGTCCAGCCTATCTTTGAACACCCGCACTGATGGGGCCTCAACGACCTCTCATGGAAGCACATTCCACACCCTCGGGGTCCTAACTGTCAGGAAGTGCTTCCTGGCATCTAAATGGAGCCTTGGTTCCCTGAGCTTTGCTCTGTTGGAGCGCCTCCTGCCTTGCTCTGCAGGGGAGAACAGGTCTCTACCCATCTCCATGTGACATCCCCTCACATACCTGTATGTCGCCAGCATATCCCCTCTGAGTCTCCTCCAGGCTGAAGAGACCCAGTTCCCTCAGTCTCGCCTCATCCCCCATCCCCTGCAAACCAGCCACCAACCTTGTGGCCTTATGCCGCACTGACTCTAACCTGGCTATATCCTTTCTGTAATGAGGGGCCCCAAACTAAGCACAATACTCCAGTTGCGGGCGCACCAGAGTCATGTAGAGTGGTAGTAACACCTCTCTCGATCTAGAAGCTACACTTCTGGCTATGCAACCAAGGGTGACATTCGCCCTCTTGACCACCGCGTCACACTGCTGACTCATGTCGAGCCTGCAGTCAGCCAGTACCCCGAGGTCCCTTTCACAAGTGCTGCTCTCCAGCCACTTGTCACCTAACCTGTACTTATGTGACCAAGAGGATCACTGCGTGGCTTTAGGTCAGTCACAGACTCTGAGCCCAACTTCCCTCACAGGCTTGTGGTATGGGGGACAAAATGGAGTTGTGTAAGTCACCTTGGGTTCCTCACAAGCGGAAAAAGGTGGAATATAAATGGAATGTGGTTGTAGTAGTAATTTTTATAGTAATACTATGTGCTGTTAGTCACACATGGAACTTCATTCTCTTCTGTAGAAATTGGTGCTATCCAGGACTTGGACTAAATTATTGCCTCTCTAGGCAGCAATCCCCTGCCATTTTGTTCTTTTACTTCTTCCTCAGCAGTGTAACACTGCTGAGCAGTATGTGGTGGTTGTTTTATTCAAACAGAAATCCAGTAAATCTCGCTCCTTTTGCCCAACAGAAACTACTGCATCTACTTGCAGTTTTATTGCAGAACTGAGATTTCAGTATTACTCGAGCTTCCCTTCCTGTTTTTCCATTACGTAATTTCTAGGTGATACTGTGATATAGTGAAATATCACAAATACCCAAGCATAAAAAGGCTTTCTTTGACCTTTACAATTAAATATTGTGGTCCCCTGTTTAAAAAAAAAAACCCTTGCTGAGAGTACTTTTTAGACCCCCAAAGTGAAACTAAAGGGTCTAAAGAAAACATAAATAGCCATGAATCCATGACAAGTGCATAACAAATCCTTTGTGTAGAAAAACCTAAGAACCCAGGATTGGACTCAGCTGCTGGACTGGAGGTATCCAGAGTTACTTGGTAGAACTAAAATCTAATCCAATAATCATATGGAAAGACCCTAGCCCTTGATGGCTATAGTCTCATCTCTATAAAGGTATCTATATTTTGAGAAGGGAATCTCACTGTGATGCTATAATAATTGCTCACCAGCGATCTGTTGGAATCCCCCTCTCACCAGATCTTCATACAGATGTTTAATTGGATTTTGGCCAGCCATTAAGACACCATGTAACCATATGAGAAGCATCCTGTGCCCGTGTTCCTTGTAGCTTTTCTTTCCTACTCCAAACATACGAAATGCTAGTTTACTATTTAGGAAGATAAAACCTTTTGCATGGTATGCTGTCCATAAAGTGGACAACTAGCATGGCTGATTAGTAGCCTTATTCAGGAATGTTTCCCTGAAATCAGCTTCCTGCTCCAAGTTCCTCTGTTCCAAAGGGAATGCAGCAAAAGTCTGGTTGGGGCTGGGGAGCAAGAGGACCAGGTAATTACTCTGTGTTTCAAAGTCAAAATTCTTGGTAAGAATGTAAAGGGATATTCTGAATTTACTGAGACTTGTGGAAAGAGACTCATGGGAGTACTACAGTACTATACAAAGTTACAGTAAATATAATAGGCAATAAATACTAAACCATAAAACTAAGGAATAAAAGACCTCAAGCCCATAAAAATAACCATAAACTATAAACAAATTAAAATCCTAAGCAAATAAAAACACTCCAATCTAACATCTAAAGTATCTAACAGCAGGTGCCGGTTGACTCTCCTCAGGATCTTGGACAACTACCCCCACAAAGGCCCTCTTCTTTGTAACACATTCCTTCTGCCAAAGGCAATCAGAAAAGGGCTTCACCCATTATCTTAATGCACAGGCAAGCTGCTATGAAAGATTACTAAGTGATGGGGGTTAATGTCTCTTTGTTCTTCTGACAGGAGGCCAGAGATTGCACATGTACAGCTCAGAAATACTGCTTTTAAACTTGCAGTTGAAATGATGATAATTATGAGCAAAGGATGTTTCCTGATCACTAGAACAGAGATCCTACCCTACATTAAATAAGGGTGGTTTCAATAAAGACAATTGCCAATCACACTGGACTGGGAACATGGTGGCTTCAAGGTTCTCTACCCTTTTACTATGCTTTAACCAGACAGAATGTAAATACAATGGGAAGATAAAAGGGTGTTGAAAAGTGGATAAACTGTATTAGGGGACCCTGAACATGCTGAGCTGTTGAGGTACAACACGTGAAACAGCTCAACTCAGAGAGATTGTGATGGGAATCAGAGGAGGTAAGCCCAAAGTCTATTTTCCCCTCAACCTACCCTCAAATGTAGACAGATATGAGGATATATGCACTGGTCTGGAAGAGCCTTAAGTCCTTTGGAGGGTGCCACATAAGGCTTATGAGCATGCAGTGCACAGTGTAAAACTCACCGGCAGCAAATTCCATTTCTAGTGCACCTCACACTCTTGTAAGTACTTATTTCATCTTGAAGTTTCTTGTCTTTCAGAAGTCTGCATTTAGATGAAAGGCTTAGAGCAGAAATGGGGAATGTGTAACATTTCAGATGTTGGACTGCAATTCCCAACATCCTTTACTATTCCTATGCTGTCCACAGCTGTTAGGAATTGCAGTCCAACAAGATCTTCAGTGGTACATGCTCCACACCCCTGGTGTACAGCAAAAGAAATGTTAATTCAAAAACTCTTTATGTTTGGAATGAGGACCCTGCCATTTTTTAGAAAATCCAGGATATTTACCTGTCCATTGTTCTTCAATAGCTTTGATCTGCTCGTCTGTAAAATTCCAGAATTGTGCTAGTTTTGTCCACTCCCTTATTTTTAATTGATTATAAGCCAAATTCCAAAGAGAGGACCGGATCTGTTTGGTCTGCAGACTGTGATCTTGTTTAAAATATATGTTATCATTTGGCAGATCAACGTTTTGGCAGTGCTTCTGGAAAATAAAGAATTACTAGGTAATCTGCGGAGACTTAATTATGTTGTTTTTCACAGTATACTTTTTTTGCAGGTAATAAAAAGCTTTCCCCCAGGTCCTCTTGGACAACATAGGATGGGACTAAACTGGTTGCTAATGGAGGAAAAAATTGCTTCAAGTCAAGCTCAGATCCTGTTAAGAAACTTCACAAAAGGAAAGTTCCAATAGCCATCCCCATGTCCCACATCGGTCAGGAAGCCTCTTTCCCTGGCCCTAGCTTTTGGGGAGTGGCTCCATGAAGGGGAGGGAGCAGAAAAAAATTCTTAAGTTCATTTATCTTAGGGTCCAAGACAGTATTTCTGGTATATTATTACAAAATTGCAATGATGCTTCATTTGCACAGCAGTCCTTGCACTCAATTCTGCAAACTGATTTCCCAATGCATTAATTATATGACAGAAATCTTCAGTTACACATGTTCTGACTTGTTGCCATTTTAGTATATTTGCCAGTTAGCTGTTTACAATTCTCAACACACCACTCTTTTAAGAGTAATTATTCAAGAATAACAAAGCTACATCCCCCCCCCAAAAAACCCCCCCAGTAAATACTAAAACACTGAATAGTTCAGATAATACTCAGGCTGCTTTAGAAAACACACAACCCAATGTGGAAGGGAAAGAAGTAGTCAGCATTCAGTTCAGAGGCTAAAGCTTGAATGCAGAAGACTTTTCTGGGTAATTTGCAGCAGCTGTGACTTCTAACTGTTTAACAAGAACAACATAAAATGACTTTTTTCCACCTAAAGAGAGTTTGAGATTACCAAGAATGGGTTATGTGAGACTGAGCTCACTTCAATCCTGGTACAGAAGGCAAATTTCTAGGCTCAGGAGCAGTCCTATCTATAATTCTTCTGTTTTCTGCATTCTGTTCTTGGTTAAAGGTAAAGGTTTCCCCTTGATGTTAAGTCCAGTCATGTCTGACTTTAGGGAGTGGTGCTCATCTCTGTTTCCTAGCCAAGGGAGCCAGCGTTTGTCTGCAGACAGTCTCCGTGGTCATGCAGATGGCATGACTAAACACTGAAGTGTACAGAATGCTGTTACCTTCCCACTGAAAGTGGGAATCTACTTGCATTTTTATCTACTTGCATTTGCATGCTTTCAAACTGCAAGGTTGGCAGGAGCTGGGACAGAGCAACGGGCACTCACCCCACTGTGCAGATTCGAACTGGCAACCTTTCGATCAACCAACCCAGCAGCACAGCAGTTTAAACCACTGCACCACCTGCATTGCTGTTCTTGGTTGGTTTGTTACATTTATACTTCACGTTACCTACAAAGAGCCCAAGGTCACATACATGCTCTTCCTCTCCATTTTATCCTTGCAACAATTCTGTGAGGTAGCATAGACTAAGATTCAATGACTGGTCTAAATTCATTCACTGAGATTCATGGCTGAGTGGGAAATTGAAGTGAGGTCTCTGCAGTCCAGCACTAATCACTATATCACCCGAACTCCCCTTGATTCATAGGCAAGAATTAATGTTTTGGTTATGATGCATGCCTTCTGCACCTGGTTCTGGATTATGGATTCCAATGTTCTTGTGAAAAAGTAGAAGAATAAAGTTTTCCTACCTCTGTGGTAAATAACTGAATTAAACTTGTGATAGGAATTTTCTCTCCAGCATATACTGTATTCAATTTCCCAGAGCATTTGTATTTCATTTTATTTCATGCTTATCTTCACAAAGTTTTCTCATAGCTAAAGGATGGAATTTTAATGAGAATCCTGGGGAGATGGGGGGAACACTGGTCCCTTGTTTACCAGCTCCTCCATTCAGCAGCAGTTACTACCCTCCTTTGCCCACTTCTGATGGCAGTATCTGGGCTCCAAAACAGCCATTCTGTGCAGTCTAGGATGCTTGTTCTTATGTCTGAACCTCATTTCCCCATACAGAAGGCAACTATGAAGACAAACTATGGATGTCATTAATTGTGTGAAACAACATTATAAATGCCAAGTAACACCAAACCAGGATGAATCCACACTACATGTTATTTTCTTGCACTTTCCTCCACCCTCTGTTTTATTCAGTGGACTAAAAAGCCAGAAGAGGTCCAGATGTTTCATCTCCAGAATGTAAAACCTTTTATCTCTGCAGCAAAAGCAGAAATCTCCAAGCTTCCTCCTCACTTAAGGCCACACACTTATATACATGCATACATACATATATTTGTTGTGCTTTTTATAGCCTGTCCTTCCACAAAGCTCAAGTTAGCTTATGTTTTATTTTCACAACAACCCTGAGAGGCAGGTTAATCTGAGAGACAATGGTTTGGAATAACACGACAATCCAGATTATGGGTAGCAAACCATGAAGGTTTATCATGCCATGTGAATCCAGATCAATTCCTACAGGGTGACTTATTTTAGGACAAGCCACTCAGACTTGTGTCATCTAAATCCAGGTGGATGGCCACACGGTGCATACTGTGGATTGGCTGGCACCTCTTTTGGCAAGAGCAGCAAAACCTGATAATGCTCTTGCCAAACCTGTCTATGCATGTGCCAGAGTCAGCTGCCCCACAAGTGCCCAAGTGGCACTTGAGCAACTCCTAACCTCTACTGTTGCACAAGTGCTACAAAAACCCATTCAAAAACTATTTGCATGGGCTTCTCCTATGCTTGCAAACCACAAGTACAGTTCTTTGTTGTGGCCTCTGTGCATCACACATATGGGTGCTGCGCCTGCGCAGTGCCTTTGGCCAGAAGATTACAAGCTAACGGTTTTTGGCGGGAAAGCTCCGCTCCCCCTCCCCCATGGCCTATAAAGAGCGGAGCGTCCGCCATTTTGTTCAGTCTTTGCAACCGCCCTTCGCTGTGCCTCGTGCCACTTTCGACTATCGCTCTGACCGTTACTCATGGCCTATTTCTTCTCCTTATTAAGCTCCCAGTTTTATATCCCTGTTAGTTCTTGTTATCTCTATAGTTCTTGTTAGTTCCTGTTAGTTCTATAGTTCTATCGTATCATTCTACCGTTCTACCTTCTTCTATAAAAAAAACCCAAAAATATATTCTTACCCTCTGCACTGTCTTCTTTTTTTCCTCTTCTTGAGATGGCGCAGTGAGCGGCTTTCCGCAAATGCGCGGAATGTGGGTCGAAGATGTCTCCATCTGACCCGCACGACCTATGCCTCCTCTGCTTGGGGGAGGGGCATAGGACCGACAAGTGCTCCCACTGCCTGGCCTTCTCTAAGCAGGCCAGGAAAAATCGGGAGAACCACCTCTGGAGGCTCCTGTGGGATCGGGCTCTTATGCAGTCCGACCCACTCATCGTCGCTCCGGAGCCTGGCCCGGCTACGGTGGTCCTGCCCTCATGCCCTTCGGATGAAGTTGCCTCTGCCCTGAGGGCCCCACCCACTTCTCCCAAGAAGAAATGCGAGAAGCGCAAACATGCTGATGCTGATAAATCAGCAAAGAAGGCCAGCATGGAGAAGCCTCCTAAACCGACCCAGAAGGCAAAGGATCCGGAGTGGCCATGGCACCGTGACTCGGGTTCGACTGCCGCGTTGGTACCGGTGGCAGCTACCATACCAACCCCACCCGAGCCAGTACTCCAGGCAGCCATGAGGGTCACCCCTTATGAGTCCCCTCGGCGTGTGGCCGACCTCCCCACTGAGCCACTTCCACCTCTTCAGCGGGGGTCGATCTCTGATGGGGAAATTCAAGACTATCCCCCCAGGGTTAGGTCATCCACGCCTATGCCCATGGCCACAATGGAGGCGGATGTGGTCGGATCCCCGCCCAGGGCCTGCAGGAGTCGCTCCAGGGAACAACGATCTGAGGAATGGCGTCACTCCTATTATCCATCTTGGGGCGAGCCATACTCTACCGGGTACTATCCCGCACCGAGGGATCGATCCCCACCACGCTCTCGTGATCGCCCACTGCCGCTGAATCCGAGGCACGCATCCCGTTTCCCGGGATGAAAGCAGCTGGTCTGTCTTGCTGGTGGAGTCCTCTTCTTTGGCTCCTCCGTATTATGGCACGGACTCTGCCGACTTGGACATCGATTCCACCTCTCCCGATGTCGTGGTGACCTCCCAGGGCCCTGCGTCACCGGACGAGTCCCACGTCTCCTTCGCGGAGCTGATGTCCAGGCTCATCCAGTCCCTGGATATTGACGCCGTCCAGCACCCGGGGCCGTTGACGGATAAATTTTATGACGACGTCCGCGGGGAGCAGTCCACCTCCATCGTCCTGCCCTTGATCACCACCCTACGGCAGGCGATGACGCAACCCTGGGACTTGCCCTCTCACCCTCAACCCACATCATGGAGGTACGAAGCCATGTACCGGGTTCGGGAGGAGGACATCCCATTCCTCCTCCGCCACCCCAAGCCGAACTCGGTCGTGGTGAAGCCTTCCCAGGGTAGAGAGGCAAGAGACCACACCGCTCCGTGAGATAAGGAGGGCTGTAAGATCGACTTCCTGGCCAGGAGAGTCTATGCAGCTTCAGGCTTGGGACTGCGTATCTCGAACTACGAGGCGGCATTGGCGAGATACCGGTATTTTATAATGCAACGCCTCCACAACGTCATCTCGGCCCTCCCAGACCACCAGAGCGACTTGGCCAAGGTGCTAATTAAGGAGGCGATACACGTCGCAGTTCAACAGCTGTCCACAGCCAGGCACCATGTAGACACCAACTCAAGGGCCTTGGTCGCTGCCGTCTCCCTTCGCAGGCATGCGTGGCTGAGGAGCGGCAACTTCCCCGAAGAGACCAAGCACCAAATCGAGGAAATGCCCTTTGACGAGTCCGGGCTTTTCCACTCAAAGACAGATCACAAACTCAAAAAACTTCATGAGTCCCGCATGACGGCCCAATGGATGGAACTCCAGTCGCAACCGAGGCGTAAGTGGGCATGGACCCGTCCGCCATACAGACAGCCTTACCATCCCAGGCAACAGCCTCAGCACAGGCAGCAACAACAACAACTACGCCACTGACAACAGCC